ACCCTACATATACATACATCTAGTACTCTGAGTGTTAAGACACTATTGTCATTATGTTTGCATGTGTCCTGTCACTCAGACTCTCTGGGATTGTTGTTCATTGTCCGTTCAAATGCAATCACAAAATGCCCACCAGTTTGCAACCGGCACTCATCTGCCCACCCTCTCCATCCCTTTGCTTGTGTTTGCAGGTTTGCATCTGAATCACAGAGCTGGTGGGGGCCCGAGCACTTGGCCACGTGGACCAGATTGATGCCATTGTCTCGGCACACTGACCTTTGCTGTAATACCCATGGCAGACATCACAAACTCTCACATCAATTTACTCCAATTGGATGTGGCATGTCTTGGCTAACTCAATTTGTGGAGAAATGCACCTGTCTCTGCCTTCCCTCCCTATAGATTTACTCAAAGGGAGGGTGGGGAGAAGGCAGAGAAAGGGAGAGTTAAGGGAGAGCTTTAGGAGTGAGACACACTCCTGGTCTACTCCCCTTCCCCCTCCTCACCCCTAGAAACACTCACCCATATGCATATAAACACATACTTCTTTTTTCTCTATCCCTCAGCTCTTTTCCGTCTGACATACTTTGCAGATGTACCATCTCTGCACAAACATAAACCCCTTGGACTCGTGTTCGTGTGTTTGACTGTGTGTGTTTCCAAGGTCTGGGCAGAGCGTCTGGGAGGAGCAGAAGGAGAGCCATTAGCCTAGCAGTAATCAGATTAGAGAGACGTTAAAGGGGATGTGAATTTAAACAGCCAGCAAAGAGAACAAGAGGAAAAGTCTGAGGTGTTATTAAGGTTGTTCATTACTCATACACTCTGCATGCTCATGCTTGTCTGCAGCATAAGCTAAAGTTTGGTTTGCAAGTGGACTTGTGTATGCAGCTTTTATGCATTAGAAAAGTTGAGTTGTTTTTTTCTAGATAGTTGGTTGTGATGTAATAATAAATAATCTGACAACAAATAATTTGCAGGTCAGATCTATTTATAGTCTCTACCATCTTTAATCTACTAAATCAGGATAGAGCTAACGTGAAGTGAATAAAGAATAAATTCTCTATGGAGGGTGAAGGATAATGTTTGACTTTATGTTGGGGTGAATTTAGGTGTATTTAACATGCACAAGGTTAGCTGATTCTAGTCAGGTAATGCATTACATCAGCGTGGGTCCTCAGAGAGATGGAAGTCCATCTGTTGGTTTCAGAGTGTTGCTTTATGCAAAGTATGCAAGCTGTCAAAGATGAATAATATGTGTTGGGATCTGAGCATTAGGTAATGAGCAGCATGCTGTGAGGTGAGGCGTAACACAAACCACCACACCATCCTACCCTGTGCACCCATAGGGTTCACTTGTAACATATGCATCTGTTTTACCATGTTGTGATGGCCTACAATTATTCACTATGTTCACTACTGTGACAGTGATTTAGTGATTTTTGATTGTGTTGTTGATGGCCAACTAAAATAAAAAATAACACACTTTGTATTTTTAACATAATCGCCACACTTCTGGGGTCTTAAGTCAGCAGGTGATTCATTAGCAAAGGACACAGGAGACCTGTTCTGTCTAAGCTTTTCATACCCATGGCTGGAGTAAAATAAATTCTCTGAGCTAAATAGGGACAATATTTGTTAAATGCACCAACAGACACATATCTATTATCTTGACTAACTGAGGTGACCCTGATGTTTACTCCCCTGAAAAACTTCTGGTTCCTATTGGAGATGAAAGACACTTTAAAAAAATCAAATGAGATATCAGTGCTATATATATGTATGTATGTATATATATATATATATATATATATATATATATA